TAGGCAGCATGTCAACTGGCTTACCACTAAGAGATGAATCAGCAAAAAAATTTAAACACACTCGAAGTATCGTCTTTTTGAATTTTTGGAATTTCCAAAGTACACGTCCCTTCTCATCATTTCATTCAGTTTGAATCAACCTAAGAAATGCTGGATCTGATTAGCTTTCACAACTCAACCATATCCAAGTGTCTCCTCGCATCTTATCTGCTGCATGCCTGTTGCCATTAGCTACACCACCACAATGCTACACCTTTAGGTCAGATGGCAGGGATCTGGTGGGACATTTTTAGTTAGATACATTCAGAGCCCTGCAAGGGACTAAGTATTAAAGGAAAATAATGGGGGAAGAAAAGAAGCAAATCATATATGTGCATGTATGTATTTACATCTGTAAAGGCATATATCCGAGGGAGTAAAACAAAACCACAAAACAATAACTATACTAGCTCCAGCTGAAGGAGCAAATATGTGGGAGAGGAAGAAGTAACTTAATCTATGAAACTCAATTTTCATTAGTCCTTACAGAGCCATGTGACGGACTAAATACAAACTAAAATAACAAACGAAAACATTCATATGTGTTAAGAACATTCCCCTGCCAAAAATATAAATCTCTATGAAACAAGTAAGCAAACAATGCCCATCTCTTCTACTTGCTGTTACCCACACAGGCAACAAGGGGAAGGGGAGAAGGGGAGGCCGTCATACACGCCTCCTCAATTTGCATCTGGTACCTCGACATCTACCCAAAGGACTAGGTATAAAATCAGTAACATGGAAACATTTATATACATTTTTTAAAAGTTCATACCCTGTCCTTTCCCACTAACTACTACTCAGCCCAATAATTCCTCCCTCTGAAAAACCAAAGAGAACCCCAAATTGTTAAACTATTGCCCATGTTGGCAGTGAGGGAAGGGAGTAGAGGAGATTTATCATACATCTGGACCTCCATGTTTCATTATGTACCTACAGATCCCAGCAAAGGACTGGGTACTAAGTGAAATAACACACAAAATGTAGCAAACATTTGTATATATTAAAAAAGTGTGTACACACACACACACACACCCAGACCTCTCCCATCCCTGCCTCTCGGAAAACAGAAGCCAAACACCTATTCTTCTACCACTGCCCACCAGGCAATGAGGGAAGGGGAGCAGGGAGAGTTTTCATAGAATCAATCTCAACTTTCATTAAGTTCCTAAATAGTTATGCAAAAACCTGGATTCAAAATGAAATAAACACCGCAAGAGGCAGAAACATTTATATACATTTAAAAATGTACATATCTTGCCCAACAAGCTCATTCCCCATTAAAAACCTCAAAACAAAGAACAGAAAACCAAATCCTCAAGTACTCATACTACTGCAGGTATACACAGGCTATAGGGGCAGGGGGAAAAGATTTATTACATCTCTGGATCTGGGCCTCTGCATTACATTTGATATTTACAAGTCCAAACAAAACACTAGGTTTGAAGTGAAAGAACAAAAACACGTAGCAAACATTTATCTACACTAAAAAAAATAAAAGCAAACCCAGAAATCCCCCACTACCCTGCCAAAAAAAAAAAAAAAAAAAAAAAAAAAAGAAACAAAAACTCCAAACAACTATGCTACTGGTCATTGCCTAGACAGGCAACAAGGGAAGGGGAGGAGGTTTTCTTCATAGAATGAACCTTAATTTTCATCATGTATCGAAGTATCCATGGAAAGGTTTAGGTACAAAATGAAGTAACAGAAAAAAGGAGCGAAAACCATTTATATACATTTTAAAAAGTAAATATCCCTACGCTCCCAGGAGAGGGAGTGATAGAGGTAGAAATAATAATCTACACTACTCTAAAACTATTGCCCACAGAGGCAACAAGGAAAGGGGAAGAGGGGAGATTTTCATACATCCGGACCTCCACAGCTCGTTAGGTACTTGCACGTCCAAGCAAGGGACAGGTACAAAATGGAATAACACAATATAGTAACTAGCACTGTATATATACAATTTTCAAAAGTATATATCTTGCCCTTAGTCCCTTCCCGCCCCCCAAAACTTCAAAAAGCCCAAACTACTTTAAAATTATTGCCTACACAGATAAAAAGGGAAAGGGAGAAGACTGCTATACATCCAGAACTCTGTGGTTCATCAGCAACCTACGGGTCCAAGCGAAGGACTGGGTACCCAATGAAATACTATAATAAGGAAGTAAAAACATGAATATATATTTAAAAAGTACCCCAATGCCCACAAAAGAGCCTCTAAAACTAATCAACTACCAGCCACTGCCCACATGAGCAACAAGGGAAGGGGACAAGAGGAGACTGTCAAACATGTGGACCTCCACGTCTCATTAGGTACTTTCATGTCCTATGAGAAGGACGTAGTACGAAATGAATTAGTTATAATACAAAGTAGTAGATTTATTTATACACATTAAGTACATACCCCACTCTCTCCCACCCCACAAAACAAAAACTACTATTCTAGCTATTGCCCAAGGAGGCAATAAGGAAAAGGGAAAAGAGATTTGTCATTCTCTGAACCTCAGTTTTCATTAAGTATATATGCATTCATGCAAAGGAACACATATAAAAATGAAATATTAAAAAGTAGCATAAGGGGCTTCCCTGGTGGCGCAGTGGTTGAGAGTCCGCCTGCCGATGCAGGGGACGCGGGTTCGTGCCCCGGTCCGGGAGGATCTCACGTGCCGCGGAGTGGCTGGGCCCGTGGGTCATGGCCGCTGGGCCTGCGCGTCCGGAGCCTGTGCTCCGCGACGGGAGAGGCCGCAACAGTGAGAGGCCCGCGTCTGCCTGCTCATGCTGGGGACACGGGTTCGAGCCCTGGTCCGGGAAGATCCCCACAGCCGCGGAGCAGCTAAGCCCGTGTGCCACAACTACTGAGCCTGTGCTCTAGAGCCCGCGAGCCACAACTACTGAGCCCACGTGCCACAACTACTGAGCCTGCGTGCTGCAACTGCTGAAGCCCACGTGCCTAGAGCCCGTGCTCCGCAACAAGAGAAGCCACCGCAATGAGAAGCCCGTGCACTGCAACAAAGAGCAGCCCCCACTCGCCGCAGCTAGAGAAAGCCCCCGTGCAGCAACGAAGACCCAACGCAGCCAAAAATAAATAAAATAAATTAAAAAAAATAAAAAGCATAACATTTACATACACTTGAAAGAAGAATATACAACCCTCCCCTCTCCCTGCCCTCAAGAACAGATTAGATCAAAACAACAGAAACTACAACTACTCTGTTAGTATGTCCACACAGGCAATAAGAAGAGGGGAAAATGGGACATTTGTTATAGTTTTGGACCTTCACAGTCCATTAGATATCTACTTATCCATGAGAAGGATGAAGGAAATACAAAATCAAACAACACCCACAAAATAGCAGCAGACACATTTGTACACATTTTAAGAAGAACATACTCTGCTCTTCTCCCACTATTACCATCTCCTTCCAGAAAGGGAAATCAAATAATTACTCTGTAGCTGTTGTCCATACAGGAAAAATAGGAAGGGTAGAAGAGATTTTCACAGGACAGTATTTTACTTTTCATCAGGACAAACTATATTGAAATGAAAGAATATAAAACCATTTCAAAGCACATACGTACATTCAAAAAGTATATACCCCCAAAGAGCCACGCAAAGAACTCAATCAACTATTCTATTAGCTATTGCCCATGCAGGCAATAAGGGAAGGGGAGAAGAGGAGCCTTATCATACTTCTGGACTTCCACTTTTCATTTGGTACTTACTCGCCAACGTGGAGAATGAAGCACAAAATACAAGAAAGTAAAACCCAGCCAAAAAAATAAATAAATAAAATAAAATAAAATATATTTACATAAGCTTTTAAAAGTACAAATGGGGCTGTGAGGGCAGAAGGAGGAAGAAAGCTCTTTAAAAAGAGAGTTAATTCCAATTCAAAAAAAAAAATAACAAAGGCAAAAGGGAGAAGCAAAGCTCCATCATACCTACGAAATTCAGGTCTTGTTTTGCAAACGCGGCCCAGGAACTGCTGTTCCT